CTAAGGCTGGCTTGACATGAACATAAACTTTTGCACTTTCCAAGTTTCCATGCTTGACCCTCTCCCTCCGATCATCACTTGGCAAATCTATCCAGTACTCACCATCATTTGTCCCGCCACAAGGCAAATTTGAGCCCGCAGCATCAATGGTCTCACCAACTGATGCACCACTTCTGTGCAATAGTGCTCCGTTCTCGAAAAACCATGAAACAGAGGATGGCAAAAAGACCTCACGCGGATGGAAAAATACAGTAGGACCATAGTGCCTGATGAGTGCATGAATCTGACCGAGATTGGGCATTGCATGTAGAGTGGGATTTAAGTTCTTCAAGCAAGCAATATGTAGCTCTTCCTGGGAGGTCCAGTTGCTACTGCAAAAAAGTGTCCCCACTGAGACACCTTTCCCATGCATTCCCCGATCCTGGGGTCTAGTTTTCCAGACTGCAAATGGTTTCTGTGGAGATTTAGAACTGGTATTGAGTATCAAACAGTATGCTTCACATTGATCTGTCAGGTTGGCTCGAACACATCTAACTTCCTCCAACTCGGGCTTCTCAGGCTTCTTGGTGACAACAAAGCCCAAAGCTTTATAACCTTCGGGAGGTTGAGGTAACCAGAAATAACCACATTCGCCATGATTTTCTTGACTCCCATCATCAGGACTCCAAATTAAGGCATAATCCAGGGGCTTGAGAAGGGCTGGGGAGTAATCTGGGTTGCAAAAGCAGGAATTTTCTGGCTCAGGTGACACCACTTCCCGGGCCCCAAATACAAACCCTTTTAGGGGCTTATCATTAGATTGGCAATAGTGACCAAGACTGAAATATCCTTTTGGTACTCCTATTGGCTTATAAAAACTAACACCTTTTTTCTTGTCCTTCAACAGATTGCATCCCCAAACAAACTCAAACTTGGTGATTAGGAGAACCTCTATTTCTCCTAAATTAATTGTTCCAGAAGCAAATCCTTGACCTTAACAAATAGAAGTGATTGGTTAAAAGAGAACAACAAATATGAAGGGGATAGAAAATGAAAACCAAATGAGCTAAATAATGCACATTGCATTTGAAGAGCCTCTGATATCAGAATTTCATACTATAAACTCAAAGGTCCTTATCAAAGTTTTACAAGACACAATGGAGATAATAATATCAACTCCCTTCCCTCAGCTCCAGAAGAGGAAAAGGCGGGCAATTAGGGAGGGGGGGGGGGGGGGGGGAATAAAATAATTCTTAAAATAAAAATGGTGTAGAGGAAAAGCCCCGTTATGTAAAGTCTCAAACTCCACCCCATCAACTGGAGGCTGAGTCCAAAGTAAATGGAAGGATTTGTAAGGGCAAGCTAAGTCTAACACAAGATTGGAGTATTGGTCTAGTGGGACACTATAGATGGTCAAATCCATATTAATTAAAAGGATAAAAGTTCGATGAATAACAAAAATCCAACAACAGAGACCTTTCAGAATTATCAAAAATATTTAGTAACATGCTCAGAAAATGTATGACAATTCTTCCTTTAATATGAGAGATTATCAAGTAGAGGTACGGAAAATATGGTCAGGATTACAAATCACAGACGATGAAGCAAAAAGTAAAGAAATAACCAAAAAAATCATTAAAATAAACCAGGAAAGAGAACGACTCTCTATAACAGATCAAGTAAAGCAGCTAAATTTTTAAGTTTAACCCTTCAGTACAAGCTTTAATTACTCTAAAACTACTTTTCACAGAAACTATAGAAAAGCACACATAAATATATAATATGCACACACTAAAGAATATGAAGATAAACAAATATACACAAGTCAATCATCAGGTGAACAAGAAAAATATTTTTTTCTTCAAATCACCTTCCATATATGATCAGTCTCCACAGGAAACCTGGATTGTCAAAAACAACTCAATCCGAAAAGTAAAATCTGATAAAACCCTATTGATCAGAACAGTCTTTTCAAACAGAACTCAGGTGAACCCAAAAACTCAAAATTTCCCAAAGAAGAATGATCAAACCCCACATATTGCTCACAGTCAATGTTGGGTATACATTGAGAATTTCACCCCTTAGAAGAATGAGTCAAAGCAAGAAAAAAAAAAGTGAAAGTGACCTTATAGTAGAATATATATGTGAGAATGTGAAGGGGAATTACACCCATTACATATAAACCTGTTTAGGACGAGGGTATGAATTTCAAATATCCATGTATCTTGCAACATTCACTATAAAGAGGGATAAAAGAAACCTTAAGCAAACAACTTTCACATACCTTCAGGCCATTGGGTAATTGGAGTCGGGAGAGAGAAAGTTTGTGGCTGGGGCTGAGAGAAATTCACCACACTGCTCCAATGAAAACACTTGCACCCGGACATTATGGTGCAAAAATTATGTCCCTGTAAACAGCGGCAGAGCCAGCATTTTGCCTCGGTGGACAATTTATGATTAAAAAATAAATTTGTGTAATTAAATTTAAGTTTAAGAGTTCGTCATTAATTTCGTAACAAATAAGATAATAGATTACACATAATCAAAATATAATCCAAAAATCTAAAATATAATTCAAACTAGAATTTTAAGAAATCAATTAAAGCAATTTAATCATATAGGAAAAAAAAATAACTCTAACCAAGAATCTCATATAGCCAATTTGAACATAAACTTTAACAAAAATTCAAAATAGTTGAGTGGAGATCCAAGACGAAACAAAAAAAAACCTACATAAGTCCATAAATAATACGTCAAACAATCATCAATTTTACAAGAGTTAAACTAATTTTCTAATATAAAAATTTGATTTTAGAGTAGGCTAATAGTATTATCAAAAAATTTGATTAATGGATTACCTCTCATTAGCTTCAACATAATCTTCTAGGGTTTTTTCAAATTTGATTTGCACCATGGTTGAATCTAATAGGCTAATTTATTGATGAATACACCAAAGAAACTAAATAAAAGAAAGAAGAGTTGGATGTCTGGACTAGATTGAAAGTTTGGACGAAGAAAATGAAGGCTTATGGAAAAAAAAAATAGGCGTGAAAAAGAGTTACAAAATGTTAGCTTGCGAGGGTTTAAAATTATGTTAATATACCTTATATTTTAAAAAAAATTTAGTGGGATAAATTTAAGAAATTCTTGAAAATTTTAAAATTACACTTAGGTTAGAAACTTTTTAAATTTCACCGAAGGCAGCAGCCAGGCTCGAAAAATGAGGAGGAGCTCCCAAAAGTTAGCTTTTAAGGGTTGGAAATTATATTAATATACCTTATACTTAAAAAAATTTAGTGGGAACAAGTTTAAGAAATTCTTGAAATTTTTAAAATTATACGTAGATCCCAAAATTTTTTAAAATTTCAGTGGGGCAACTGCTCCCGCTGCCCCCATACTAAATCCGCCATAAAATTTTTTAATGTACCTTTCTTTATTTAAGGGTTAGGGAATACTTGCACAAATAGACAAACAGAAGGTTCGTTGATGAGCGGGCTTTTAGTTGGTGGTAAATTACAGCCATGGGTCCATGTAACATTACTCGCAACAAAAAGACAAGGTTAAGGGAGAGGAGTGCTCTGGAAATACGTTTTTTTTTATATCATAATTTTAATTTTTAATTAATAAAAATGCGTCGTGTGAATAAATTTTTATTCTTTTTTCATGTAACAATTTTAAAACATCAAAATTAATGTAGAGATTGACGGTGGTGCAGTGTCAACTTCGATATAATAACTAGGTCTGTCAATCGTGTCAAGTGACGCAAGTTCGTGTTAAAAAATAGTTCACTCATACACAATTTATTTGTTAATTCGAGTCTAACGAGCCGTGTTATATCAGATTCGTATCGTATATTATATCGTATATAATTGATATATAAACGAATCATGTCGTGTATTTTTTTTTTTTGATTAACTTTACTCATACACGAATCATTTATTAATCGTGTCATGTCGGTTCCACTCATTTACAAAACGAGTGTTTTAAAAAAGATTCAAACCTTCTAATTTTGTATATTGTTAACGAATCATATCATATTTTGTCACCCCTAACAATAACCCTTACCCTAAAGGCATGTTTGATTCGAGTACAATATGAGATGGAATTAAACAATTAATTTCATTCCAATTTTTATTGATAAATTATGAACCAACTATTTTATAGTAACTCTATTATATCATGATTGGTTAAGGTTAATAGTACAAGATTTAGATTCATTATTTTAATAGTAATATCATATTTAAATGAGATATTAGTGTATGATATTAAGTTTAAATTAATTTTTTATTAGGTTTGGGGGTTTTAAAAGGGAGGTTAAAGAAAAATAGTCTGATAGACCCTGTAATTTTGTATTTAGTTAGTATTTTTAAAATCGGGATTTATATCCTGACCTGTAAGGAGTTCAATGTATTAAACTCACATACATGAGATAGAGTAAATTTGGGAGATGGGTTTCATATATACTAGTCTAGGTTAACTATGTCAAATGATCTTTCTATCCCTAATAAAATATTTTATCTATCAAATCACATCTCAACCTCCCCTCCCCCTTAATTACTCCTCTATGTAATTAAAAAAAACAAACAAGAATATGGATTGGACAATGGGTAATATAGTCATTTAAAAAATAAAGGTGTTGATAATTGTGATAAATTTGTAGGTCTCACATGTATATATATTACTTACTAAACACGGATATGAATAGAATTCATATATGAATCTCATGTACACAAAAATGAAGGATAAGTTTGATAAAACTAATCCAACTCTTTACCCCAAAACCATCCTCCAAACATGCCCAATGAGAGATGAATTGAAGATGAAGGGCTGGAATGACCTTTTCTTTTGTGTAAAGTCTTTAGGTACAATTATGGGACCGAAATATCATTTTTTGGTACGTTACTTTTATTTTTTATTAAATAAAAATATGATAATAGATTATAATATTTAGTAAAACTCACAATTAATTTAGTAATTGCGATAGATTAAATTAACAAATCATATCAACAAATTAGATTTAAATGGTATTACTAATAAATATCACCGACATAAATTGGCCACCCACTAGCATTGGTGAAAAGGATAAGGTCTAACTCCAACGACTAGCTCAAATAATAATAGAGACAAATTATAAATTTAAACGTTTTGAATTTGAATCTTGAAAATTTCTTTAAATTCAATATGAGAGATTTATTTCTCATGAATTGATTCTGAAGTTAATAGTTTTGTTAGTAATATGCTCCAAGACCAATCGTATAGATGATATTTTGGGGTTATACTGATAACATTCATTATTGAATTAAATAAAATGGTAAGTTTATTTATCATATTTCTGCTTTATTTTATTTTAATATATATGATATAATTCATAGAGTATAAGTTAAGAAGATGGTTTTCTCAAAAAGTTAAGAAGATAAGACATATACTTTTTAGTACTTAACTCTTAAATATTCTTAATCATAGCTTTACTATGTAATCCGGATAAATTAACATATACTATGTTTACTCATATTTGATATGAGATAACTCATTCAAGTCACTGGTGTAAAAAAACTAAATTAGGTGTGTGGGTACTTATTAGAGAATAAGTATATTGATTGACTCACATAGAATTTTTCATGTGAAGTTTTACATACTTCTCAATATTAAATCTTAAAGTTAGAGTTATATAATTTTATTTTTTTTTTTATCAAAAACATGAACTATGAATTTCATTTAAGTAGAAAAATGCTGGTTACAATCAGATAAAAGTAAATTGTAAGCTCGTGAGGAGGACAGCTGATCCAATTCACTATAAGTAAATCCGACATCACTTCTGCTGCCACCCAATGAGCTGCCATGTTAAGTCCTTAAACTTGAAACATTATAGTTGTCTTGTGCATAAATTTTATATTTTAACTACACATTATATTTATATACTAACCATGTAATTTAGATATGTATTGTTGGATATAGTTAGCTATACAGGGAGACTTATGAGTAGACGAATCATATATAGATAGTTAAAAGGACCTATTAGCTCTTATGAATTATTAAACCCTATAAAAGATTGTTTGATTTATCATGAAAATTCTTTGAAATGCAAGAATCCAATAATTTTATGTGGTGGAACAAAATATCTCTAATTTTTCTCTCAATTAGATTCTTGTTTTTGGTTTCCAAGAGAATGTTCTTATGTTATCTCGAATGATGCATGTCATATGTGCTCTTCTAGGATATAACTCAAAGAGTCATAATATTAAAATCAAATATATAAGATTAAATTAGGGGTTTGATAGTAATTTTATATCCTAGTAATTCAATGTGGGTATTATATGATAGAAGAATTGAATTACATGGTTATTATATACTGAATGGATTTTTTTATCTATTTTGTGTTATCCAGAGATTGATTATGATATACTTCATTCATGATTAGTAGAAGTCTGAAGAATGAAATTAATATAAATATATTAATTATTCTTCACAAAGAGAGAATTGGAAGAATTCCAATTCAAGTTAAATTAGAAAAAATTCTAATTTGATATGCTACTTATAGTTAGTATTATGCATGACATTCGAAGAGTTATAAGGTCACACACAATAAAATTAATTGAAAACTAAATGATAAAAGAGAAAAAAACAATTAAGAGTAAATTAAGGTGAAAACTTAATTAAAAGTTAATTAGAGACTTTATTATAATTAGTGATTAATAAAATGAGTTATATATAATTATGAGATAATTGGAACTAGACCCTATTCTAAGGCTTTATAAATACCTTCATATGGATAGATGAAATAATAACTCTGACTTACTAGCACAAGAAAATCTACTCATCCTTCTCTCTATTAGTTTATTATTAGTTTATCAAAAGTTGAGGTAGATACTTCAATTTTATCAATTTATATGATATCGATAAATCATAATTGCGAGACTTGAGATAAAGATCAAATTAAGATTTGAAGATTCAAAATGTTTGAAAAATTTGACAATTGTTAAAAGAACGTTTCAAGAGGTAACCCTTAATCTTTTTTATAGATTTAAGGTTTCGATTGGTATTAAACATGAATAAATTTTGGAATGAAAAATCAATATTTATTTTTTATATTTTGCTGTGCTTATTATATAATTTCTTTTAAATTTTCATCAGAGAATTAATAAAAAATATCATAATATCGGCTTAAATAATTTATATTTAATTGGACCAAAAAGGGACCCTAATCGTTGAAAAAAAAAAAAGGAAAAGTCTCACAATCACAGGAGCGTGGACAACCGACAACTATCTGACGCGTGTACGGCTGTAAAGGTAAGGGTTTTTTCCAATGGAAAAGCAAGTTGACGGACCGAGAACCACGTTTTTCATTAATTAAAGAGTAAAGTTATTGAAATTTAATTTATTGATCTAATTTAATTATGATATTTGAATTATCCGTGAGATCCATCAAATTTTAAAATTTTGATGTTGATCTAATAGTTTTACTGAAATCACATCATTATGCCAATAAATTAGATCAAAAATTTTAAATCCAAATAATATTACTCTTAATTAAAATGTGGTATTTTACATGTCAAAAAATACTATATATCTCAAATTTATATTTCAAATGAAGGAGACCGTTAAATGAATGGGTCTTATCAACTTTTTTAAATGAGACATATTGAGTTACATGTCTTAGTTGAGAATTGTATTTGCTAAAAAAAAAAAATTATAAAGCAAAAAATAGGAGTTGGGAATGGTCGATACCAACCTTCTCTAATATATATTTTTTTTAAATTAATTTATTGGTGAACCACCCATCAATGATAAGTGAAAAATACATTATTATATAATAAGTCTCACTTAAATCATAATGGGTAATTTGTGTGTTAGAATTTGATTCAAACCCTTTAATTATCACAAACAAAGGATAGTTTGTTGAATAATTAATGTGAGAATCCTGAATGGAATAAGAAACATATTAAACTTGCAATAAACCATGGATAGTTTTATTAGTGACTTAATAGGAAATATAGAGATTTGATAGTATCTAAATTATATTGGGTTACGGTATTTTATCTTTATAAATAAGATTGATTATTATGTAATTAATTATTAAATGATCAAATTTCAATGAATAATAGATCTATGTAATTATACTAAGGTTTCATCTACATTCCTTTTAATTATAGAAAAATTAATGTTACAATTTGAAATTGTAATAAATTGTCATTATTAAATTAATAGTCGATTTAAATACGATAATATTATTGAGATATTCATCGATAAGCTAGTTAATTTATTCATTTATTGAATGGATTTTACTGTTCCAACTACCTACAACTATTACTCGTGTACTCGTTAAAATTAGATTCATACCCAACAATTTCGAATCAATTTCGCATTTAGTTGATAAATAAGACAAGAATGGTGGGTGAAACTCCGAGGGATATCTCATGTGATAATATAGACGAACTGTAAATTTATATGTCTTGAAATCGAATTTTGACAATTTATTAAAATCAGGTCACGATAGATTTAACCCTTATAAATATTATAGTTCTGGCGTAGATGACTACTTTTGATCAAATTAAAGAAAAAATTAATCGAAGTGCATGTAAACTGATCCACAATACTTCAGACCGATGAACCAAAAAAAATGGTGGGTGGAAAATAAGTTTTCTGAACCTTACAAAACAAAAGATGAACAACTGGAGTCTGCATTCAAGTCCATTGGTGCCTGGTCAATTTGGTTGTCTTAGCGTCCAACGGACCATATGGCCCCATGTGAAGAGGAGGGTTTGACCCTCTCTCCCAAAAGAAAAGAACATTCTGATATTTCTCACAATAATCTCGTTGGTGCACCCTGCACCATACAAAATGATTATGTTTGGGACGAAAAATCACATTTTGCATCAGAGAAACTGCCCTTCTCTTTCTTTTCCTATCTTTTTTTCTTTCTCTCTCTTATAAAAGGGGGATCTTTCTGTTGATGCATTTAGTTCAATGGTTATTAGTTTTGTGGCCACATAGCATAGCACATACCCTACTCTCCATTTTCTGTGGAAAGTTTTTCTTTCTTGTTCTTGAAAGTCATCTGGGACCATCACTTGCACCTTAGAAGAGAAGAGGTAAGTTTGTTTCTTCAAAATGTCATAGTTAGAATGCATTTCTCTCTCTCTCCCCTCAACTTGGGTTATTATTTGGGTTTTTAAAATTTGGGATGATAATAGAATCAAGATATTCAAATTCGGCTCGTGTTCAGTTTATTTTGAGTTAGCTCTAACTTACTTCGTATTCTAAACGATATTAAGTTCATTTAAAAAAACGAGTTCCGCTTAATTGAAAAGTCAGATTCAATTATTAGATTGAATCCAAAGTTAATTTGAGTTTAATTCTTGAATAACACAATTTCATGTGAAACTTGAGTATGATTCGAGTTGAATAAAAATTCAATTGCTCCAGTTGGGTTCATATCTGTTTCAAAAAAACATAGATTCTAACTCGGTCACTATCAAATTTAAAATTGTGTTTTTTTTTCATAAACCCAATCCAAGTAGAGAAAATCTCAGCTCAAATTAAAGGGATTTCATTGATTCTATATTCACCCTTTTGTCTTCTCCACAGAAACTTTGTATCCAAAGCAACAGACCACAGCCATTCAAGCTAGAAAATATCTGGGAGAAGAAAATGATGCTGAGGAGCTCTTCAACACCAGTTCTTGGATCCCTCCTCTCACCCTTCTCAGACACTCCCAACAACATTCACCACCAGCCTGAAGTACCCCACACCACCGCCAAACACCCACCAACCACCACTCATCAAAACTACAACAAACTCTGTTTTCACCGAGCTGGATCTCAGAATTTCTCTACATTTTCATGCAACTCCTCTCCCATCTCTCCCTCCGTCTCCGAATTTTCGGGTACTGGCCGATGTTCCCCTATTGGTTTTAGTAGAGCTCAGTCTGAAGGGAATTTGGAAGGATTAGCCAATGCCGCCTCAGGCATCATTGATGAATTCAGTTTTTCAAACCCACTGAAGAAGTGTTCACGCAGAGCTACTAGCTCATTTTTAGAGACAATCCCATCTTTTTCATTTCACAAATATCTTAGGAGATATGAAGAAGAAGACGGTGATGAGGAAGACGAAGAAGAAGAAGAAGAAGAGCGGGAACAACAATTGGAGGAAAATGGTGAATTGTTTGGTAAACTATGTCTAATGAAGCAGAACATTAAATTGAATGAGGAAATGGGATATGGAAATGTGGGTCTTGAAGAGAGGGAAGAGGTCAGTCCACATATGTATCTTGCAAGAGGGCTTGGGGTCAGTGGTGTTGATATTGGTTTTGGTAGTAACGGGGGATTTAACGGCGGTGGTCGTGGCGGCGGAGGTGGGTTTTTTACATCAGTAGACTTCGGCAGGGACGATGGCGACAGCAACGGCATCGAGGACAATTTTAAGCGCATGGTGGTGGAGAATCCTGGCAACCCTTTGTTCTTGAGGAATTATGCTCAATTTCTGCATCAAGTTAGTCCCCTAATTTATCATATACTCTATGCTTCTCTTACAAAGTCATATGGCCCCATCCTCATAACGAGTGGCTGTACTCTTAATTTTGAAGCATTAACAAAACATTTACTTTTATCAAATCTATGTGATGTGCAACAAAAATACACTATCATACGTCGAAGAGAGGTGGTCGTGCAATTGAATCTCTCGTTATTTCTGAGACTCTATTTGAAACTTACTCGTAGTAACAACAGATCTCTAGAAGTCAAACAAACTAGACATGGAATTGCATAAGATTCTACATTGGATAGTGTGCGTGCAAGATCCTGCACAATATAAAAAACGAGAACAGATCTCTCCCTTGGTGAACTCGAGTGAGCCAGTTGAGTGACCAACTACACTGCTTGGAACAGCCTGCGAGGTCCAGTGGTAACCTGGAACGGCAACGGGAGACCCTGGGGGAGCGGAAGAACGATCCAGTAAGGCCGAAAGGGGTTCCTGGAACAAAGAAGAACAAGTTAGAAAGACGCCGGAGTGTTTTCCGGCGTATCCCCTCCGACGATCTAGTCAGTCTTTGAGAGAGAGAGAGGAAGGAGAAAACACTGAGTGTGTATTGTAGTAAAGAGTTTTTTGTTGCATATATCCGTCTTGCCTTTTGCAATGAGTATTTATACCTCAAAAGCTCATGATTGCTGTTAGTGTAGTCAGTAGGTGATCATTAGGTACAGGCAGTGTGCGCACTGATTCTGATGAGGAATATCTTCTCTTCTTAACTGCTCGGGGTCCCAAGCAATCAATGCTGGGTCATCGGGATGCCGACGGTACAATGTACTCCTCTCGGGGAGGATGCAATAAATGCTCTGTATTAGGAGTATTTATTGCCTTTCATTTCCGGGTCTTACCGCATTGAATGCGGTCTCATCAAGGGAGTGGTGCAATTAATTGTTTGTGTTCCCAAGTTGCGTGTCAGCAACGACATGCGGCTTTTCTGTTTTTGATGTGATATCGTATGTCACGCGTCCATCCCATATTGGCTGTGGGCCCTGCATTCCAGTACGTTCTGACACTAATTGTGTAAGACGAGGTCATGATGAATAGCCTAGGCTAATGACCTGCACGTCAATAGCTTACCCTGGAGTAGAGGAGGTGTCCAGGACGGGGTACACCTCGGCACCGAGGAAAGGCTCATCTCGGAACTGAGGGAGGGATACCGACCGAGGTACCATATCAGACCGAGGCTACGTGTTGGTTGTAAAACGTACTGAATGTCATGATCCTATATGACGAGTACCTCGGGGGCGAGGACCTTTATGCGCCGATGGTGCTTGATCTTAGCAACAGTGTTTTGGTAATACCGAGGACACGTGTCTTCATCATGGAGTATTTCAGAAAAGTCTCATCAACTGCCCCCCAGCCTTCGATCTTCTGACACCGAGGGCACGCGTCGTAAGGAGACGAAGGGTTTCCTAACAACCACAAATGCTTCATCATTGCCTCGAGCCGCTTTCCCCGGCTTAGGATGTCGTGTGCATTAAATGCGTCATTTCGTTTTTCGCGCCCAATGATGAAATTGCCACTATATAAATGGGGCTTCCCTTCCATTTTCTTGTTTTCGCCATTCCAAACTTCCTCAAGAGAGTCTTTTTCTGAATCTTCACCGGAGATCTCTTTCCTCTTCTATCGTCGACTGCCCATTCTTCCTTAAAGTCTTAAGGCCAGCAGACCCATCGTTGCTTCTGAACTTTCTAGAAGGAGTCGCTTTAAAGTTTTTCAGAAAAAACTCCGTTTGACATTCGGGTGAGTTCTAGTATCTTTCCTCTTTTCTTCCTCCTATCCCTTTTTGTTTTCCGATGACTGGAGGTGTCTCCGGTTGATACGTAGCGACTAATCCTCGGTAAGCTTCCTCACGGATTTTTAAGGAAAAACACCCTCCACTTTCTCACTTTTTTAGAGATGCCTCGTCGTCGCCCTGCTCCCGAGAATCCTCAGGCTGGTTCTTCGGGGTCGGGGAAATATAAAGTAAAGGGCGGTGAGCAGATTAATAGGTTTAAGGTCAAGTACGGCATTCCCTCGTGCATAAACATAAAGGATTATGACCGGTGGTGCACTCTCCTACCCTCGGGGCCGAGGATGCTATGCCCTTTTATACCAAGGCCATAATAGAGGGAGGAATTAGGTTTCCTTTACCCCCTTTACTTCTTCAGTTCCTCTCTCACTTTCGTCTCTTCCCCGGGCAGTGTTGTCTTAATGTCTTCAGAATAATTATGGAGGTCTTAGAGCTCAATAGGCGTCTCGGAGTAAGTATTGGGCTCAACGATCTCCTTTTTTGTTATTCCCTCCTGAGAGTCATGCCTCACCAACACTTCTACCTCAAAGCCAGGGACCCCTCAATGTACCTTGTAACTCATCTTCCCGACTCGGACAAGGGGTACAAGGACGATATTCTTATTTTCAAGGGATCTTGGCAGAGAGGTGTTGGTCCCGAGTATAACGGCTTGTTATGCCCTCTGGAATGGAGAACGACAAGTACGTCGGTTCCTTCGAGTGTATTATTTCATTCTCCAGATTTTCCATGTTCATGACTACTTTTTTGTTTATGCAGATATTCCTGCTTGGGAAACAGCTCCTCCCCCTCGGTCGCTGGTGAACTTTGCCGACCTAGTCACGGTTTGGAGATTTACTGGTGACAACGGGTTCGGCCGGGCTGCCCATATCCTGCTGAATTACACCCCCAAGTATAAGAAATTTTCACAGCTTCCTCAGCCTTTGGAGCCTCGCGGTGGTCTGAACTCTTCGATCAGGCGGCGAGGCAGGAGGTCGAGGAAAACTTGGAGGAAGACCCTGATCGGGCTTCGGAGGCAGAGGTAGAGGGAGTAGTTGAAGAGCTCGGGGTCAGAGAGGACGTTGTTCCTTCGGACGCCGAGGTGGGGACTTCAGGAGGAGACTTGTGGCCAGACTTCCAAGTCCTACAATCTCTAGATTCCGAGGACGCCCTCGAGGTCGCGATGTCCAGCACGCCTCGTATTGACCTGGGGTTCCTGAGGCAGAGGCAAGCTCTTGCTGCCGGGAGGGGTCGAGGATCGACCGGCGGCGCCCCATCTGCAGGGACCAGTTCCACCCCATCCTCAAGAGTTCTCAGTCGGGGTCAAGTGCGTGACCGGATCCTCAGGTAGAGGAGGAGAGAAGGGTCAAGCATAGGCACGATGGCCTCGGCAGAGGATCCGGGGCATCTTCCGCTCAGCAGCAAGGCGGGAGAGGTCGTGGGTTACCCCCTGCTCCTCCGCAACAGCAGCAACAACAACAGCAGCAGCAGACTCCCCCTTCCCTTCCGCCGACAGTGGAAGCCGCGGAGTGGAATCCCCGAGTCACCGATCACATGAACCGAGTGATCAGGGTCGATGATTCCATTTTGCTGGATCCTCATGTCGCCAATGCAGTGAGTGAGACACTACATTTCGAGGCTGACATTGTAACGCCCCAAAAAACCCCTTGGGTGACATTACATTCTAAAAACCATTCACCCCATGAGAGCATTATGTAAATTCATCACAACGAAAGTTCATTCATCAACCATTCATATTTTAACAAAATTTGGGCAGAGTCTCTTTTGTACGGGGAACTTTACCCAAAACGCAACCTGTACAATTATATTACAATTGACCACACCGGGTCCACATATGCATAACTATTGACCACACCAGGTCTATTTATCCATCATAAAATAAACTTTCATTCATTATATGTCATATCCACACTATCATCCCAAAAGAATAGGTCCAATCTTGGCCTTTACATCTTTACAATGTAATAATATAACGCAGCAAAAATAACAAAAAAAAAAAAAGAACTAGACTTCAAAAGGATATTCTAAGTATAATCTAGTCTAGAACAAAATAAAAGTGTCGCTCTAAGCGTCCACCTCGGGATCCACATTCCCTTCAAGTGGAGTCTCCCAATGGGCGGGCTCCTCGGCTCCTAACTCCTCCTCAAGTGTGAAATCTGAAAATGTTATTTGTAGGGGGTGAGCACGAAGCTCTGTAGCAAAATCCTCTCAATTCATACAAGGTTTATAAAAATATAAAAAAAAGGGTCGGTCTCATTTTTCAACATAGCATAGATACATAATTTGAAATGAAACGGGTGCATTTTTCAATGAATCTCAAGTTTAAGTAACAATAGTAATAGAAAGGAGCAATTTCAACCAAGTGCTAATAAACATCCATTGCCAAAATATAAATCATTTTCCACACATGATATCATATTGTCCTCTCTAACGGGAGCATCCTTGCAAGGAACCTCTCACCCTCAAGATTTGGTTTCTCAAGCATCCTTACAAGGAACCTCTTGAGAAAATCACATACTGTCCTCTTTTGGTGTGAGCATCCTTACAAGGAACCTCTCACCCTCAAGATTTGGTTTCTCAAGCATCCTTACAAGGAACCTCTTGAGATGGAATGAGCAGGAACCTCTTGAGATGGAATGAGCATCCTTACAAGGAACCTCTCATCCATGTTCATTCCAACAATCATACAAGATCACATCATCCCAACAATCGTCACACATAACCAAGGATTCCATAAATCTTCAATTTACAAGCAAATTTCCAAAGATCCACAAATCCATTATGAGGCAATTTCAATAAACAATTAGGAAAATACAAGAGATCACTACAACATCATTTATTACTCAACACAAACCACTAAAGTTTTCAAAGCCAAGATTGAGTGACTATAGAGAGAAAAATCCATATTTTTCAAAAGTTAGGGTTGAGAGCAAAAACAAGAGAAAGTAGTTACCCAACCATAACATTGTTTAAAACATGATAATATTTACATAGACATCAAGAATCAAAGGTTTCCTAACATACATCTAAGATTTAGATCAAAAAAAAAAACTTATATGTATACATAGCCCTAGTCTCAATGTAAGAGAAAGAGAAGAAATCTCCTACCTTGAATCAAAGTTTCAAACCAAAAACCCAAGCTCTAATGACCTCCTTTCTCCCTTTCCTCCTTTCCTCTATCTTCCCCAAGGGTGCTAAGGGGTTTGGGGGTGAGAGATGTGAGAAAAAATGGAAGAAATTGGCTGGATTCTGTGTTTTAAACATAGCAGTCCGCGACAAATCACTGTTCATGGCTGAATTTTGAGTTTTTTTTCTAAAATTACAGTTTTGCCACTAGAAATCTCCAATTTGATCCATACGACTACCCTAAGGTTTTTCGACGTTCCGGATTCATTTTTAATGTTATTTTAACCTAAAAATATTGCTTTTTATGATTTATTTCAAAACTAAA